TGGCGGAATCACATTACCTGACTTCAAATTGTACTACACATCTATAGTAACCAGAAGAGCATGCGGGACTGGATGAAAACAGACACAGAGACCAATGGAACAGAATACAGAAACCAGAAATAAGTCCATACATCTAAAGTGAACTCATTTTCAACTAATATGCCAAGAACATATATTGGGGAATGGACAGCATCTTCAATAAATGGTGATGGGAAAACTGTATATCCATATGCAGAGGAATAAAACTAGACCCTATCTCTCACCATATACAAAAATCAAATCAAAATCAATTGAAGACTTAAATCTAAGACTTCTAAACTCTGAAACTACTACAAGAAAGCATTGGGGAAACTCTCCAGGTCATTGGATGGGGCAAAGATTTCTTGAGTAATACTCTACAAGCACAGGCAATCAAATAAAAAATGGACAAATGAGTTCACATCAAGTTAAAAATCTTCCACACAGCAAAGGAAACAGTCAACAAAGTGAAGAGACAGTTCACAAAATGGGAGAAAATATTTGCAACTATTCATCTGACAAGGGATTAATAACCAAAATATATAAGGAACACAAGCAACTTATAGGACAAAATCTAATAATCCAATCAAAATGGGCAAAAGATCTGATAAAAGATTTCTCAAAAGAAGACATATGAATGGCAGATTCACGATAAATGTAATCAACATCACTGATCATCAGAGAAATGCAAATCAAAACTACAATGAGATATCATCTTACCCCAGTTAAAATGGCTTTTACCCAAAAGACAGGCAATAATTAATACTGGTGAGGATGTGGAGAAAAGAGAACCCTCATATAATGTTGTTGGAAATGTAAACTAGTACAACTACTATGGAGAACAGTTTGGAGGTTCCTTAAAAAACTAAAATAGAACTGCCATATGATCCAGCAATTCCACTGTTAGGTCTATATACAAAATAAAGGAACTCAATATATCGAAGATACATCTTCACCCCTATGTTTATTGCATCACTATTCACAATAACTATGATTTGGAAGCAACTTAAGCGTCCATCAACAGACGAATGAATAAAGAAAATGTGGTACATACACATAATAGAGCACTATTTGGCCATAAAAAAGAATAAGATTCTGTCATTTGCAACAACATAAGTAGAACTGGAGATCATCACGTTAAGTGAAATAAGCAAGGCACAAAAAGATAAATTTTGCATGTCCTCACTTATTTGTGGAAGATAAAAATTAAAACAATTGAATTCATGGATATAGAAAGAAAAAGGATGGTTACAAGGCCTGGAAGAGTAGTGTGGAGGGGAAAAGCAGGGATGGTTGTTGGGTACAAAAATATAGTTAGATAGAATGAACAAGATCTAGTATTTGATAGCACAACAGAGGAACAATTTGTTGTACATTTACAAATAACCAGAAGAGTATAATTGGGTTGTTTATAACACAAAGTGAAGATAAATGCTTGAGGTGATGGATATCCCATTTGCCCTGATATGATTACTATACATTGCATGCCTGTATTCAAATATCTCATGCTTCCCATAATTATATACACCTACCCACACACACAAAGAACATTTTTTAAGTTTAAGTTATGTACTTCAACCTCCAGTGCAATTTAACAAAATAGTTTAGGAATGTTCTCTTATTACATCAACAGTGGCACAACATGTTATGGGAAAGTTGTCACTGTTTAAAATTTATTTTGTTTGTATTTATTTTTTTAATATATATATAGAGAGACGGGGTTTTGTCACGTTGCCCAGGCTGGTCTCGAACTCCTGAGCTCAAGCAATCCACCAGCCTCAGCTTCCCAAAGTGCTGGGATTACAGGCATGAGCCACTGCACCCAACCAAGTTGTCCTGTTTTCAGAACTTCATGATTTAACTTGTGCAAAAATATGTCAAGATTTGAAACTAGTATGTTCAGATTATTTAACAGGGAGTCAGTGGTAAAGGCCTGGTTGTGCCTTCCTACCTTTCTCCTTGTTTGTGCATACAATTGCACTTCTTTTTAAAGATACAAGGAAGGCTTGGTTTTAGTACCAAAAGAAAGTCATAGCATGCATATTATTCTTTAGTTTGCTTTACTTTCCATGGGTATAAGATCTTTAATAACATGTAATAAAATACCTTTGGGGCATTTGCTACAAATATTTCCCCAATGTATCACTGCCCATGTAAAATAGTTTTAACATTGTTGAGTGGGCAGATGTTCCACTTTAATTTTTTCCACTGATATGACAGTCTTTTCCCTTTCACAAGGTTTAATAAATACCCAGGTCTCTGTATGCTGGTTTTAAAAAATTCTTAATTTTTCAAAAAACATTATTACTTAATCCAACTGTAATTTCTTTGGGTGTTTCGTGAGGAGGAAATGAGGAGCAAACTGATGACTTTCCTTCTTTAACTGACTAGCCAATTGTCCCATCACCCTTTATTGAATGGTGCCTTTTTGAGTTGTTTTGTTTTGTCTTGTTTTGTTTTTTGAGACAGTCACTCTGTCACCCAGGCTGAAGTGCAGTGGCGCAATCTCAGCTTACTGCAGCCTCGACTGCCCAGGCTCAAGCGATCCTCCTGCCTCAGCCTCCCAAGTAGCTGGGACCACAGATGCACACCACCACACCGGCTTTTTTTTTTTTTTGGTAGAGATGGGGTTTCACCATGTTGCCCAGGGTGGTCTCAAACTCCAGAGCTCAAGCAATCTGCCCGCTTCTGCCTCCCAAAATGCTGAGATTACAGGCATGAGCCACCGCGCCTGGCCTTTTTGTATTTTGTATTGATAGATTATAGTTGTGCATATTTATGGGGTACATGTGATATATTGATGCATACAATGTATATTGATAAAATCAGGGTAATTGGGATATCCATCACCCCAAACATTTATCTTTTCTTTATGTTGGGATCATTACAATTCTCTTCTAGCTGTTTTTACATATACCATACACTGTTGCTAACTATATTCACCCTTCTGTACTATCGAATACTAGAACTTCTTCCTCTAGCTAACTGTATTCTTGTACCCATTAACCAACTTCTCTTCATCCCTCCCTCCTCCTTCCCTTCCCAGCCTCTGGTAACTACTTTGGAGACATGGGAGGAGGAATGAGGCAGGAGAGCTTTTCCTTAGTGTATTTTTATCCTGAATTGTTTCCTGAATATGTAAAATGTGTTAAGATTTTTTAAATGTTCAAAACTTCAACCTATTAAATCCACTGAGAATCAATCCGTTAGGATATAATCTTAAATAGAGAAAAGGCTATTATAACAAAATGATAATAGCAAAAATATTATTTAAAATTTTGACCAAACAAACAAAAATGGGATGACTATGTAAACTGAGGTATTTCCATTAATGGAATATCATTTATCCAACAAAACATAATCTACAAAGATTATAGGATAAAATATATAATGACCGAGATATTAAATGAAAAACTAAATTAAAATATATAAATATGATTATGTAACTAAGAAAAGATCCCTACACAAAATAATGAAAATAAATGTTAAGATAAACAAAGAAATTTTCTAAAAAGTTTAACTTCTAATGGATTTAGGTAACTTCTCACTAATCCGTTTTTAAATTTTTTCGTGAGAAGTTTTTTTAAGGAGTAATTTAATAACTGGCAGAAAAGGATAAATCAAATTTGTAGGATTTTACTAATTATTTAAATGTTGAATGTTGATGCTGAATTTATCACAAAAGGCCGTCCATCAGCAATCTCTAAGCTAATGGTTTTGACAACATTTATAATAACAATAATAGCATTTCTGTTTTTAGTCTGATAATTTTCTCTGGTGAATACAGGCTTTATTGTGATCTTAAAAACACACCAAAATGATAGGGCTAGTAGCAAAATAATGAACTATTTGTATTTACTCTTAAATTGACCATAAGCTAATACACAAAACCTTTAATCTTTTCAGTTCAATTATATGAATTACCAGGTTATTAATATGTATATGATGCTAGTAATACCAAGTACTATGGGAGGGTACGCTAATGAGTAATTGGCAGGTATGACATGATAGCAGGGTTCATATTTGTATTATACGTCTGCTGGGATTTATTCAGCAGGTTCTGCTGCTGATTCCCTGAACTCCTTCCCTCTGCTGGGTGGTGTGAACTGTTAATTCTCACCTGCAGGGTCCACTCCAACACTGATATTTCAGATGTTTAAAAGCGGACAAGCAATAGGGAGAAGAAACAACTGCATTGACCACCTCCATCAACAACGTCTCCCATTTTTTTTATTTTCGGTTGTCCTGTCCCCTTGACTCTAGTAAACCTTCCTGATTCCAGATTACCTGACTTGTACCTTGGACTACCATTGTGCCTACCTTCCTTTTGACCTGGTAGCTTTTTGCTTCCCTGGCAGCCTGATGCCTGTTTGTCTAGTTTGCTGACTCTTGGCCCAGTCAGACTCCTGATATCTCTGTTTGCCTTGTTCGTTCATCTATTCCTTCACCAGTCCTTGGCACACACTGCAATCTCCCCATCCCAGCAATTTTCACAGACCAGTTGACCCCGTAGTGTGTGTGTCCTAATGCTGTTAGTGTCAAGTGTGCTCCTGAACAAAAACAGAGCTTGAACTAAAGGAAGCAATGAAATAAATAAAGTTGTCTATACATCTGGGAGAACTAAAAATTTAAAACTATAAATGTTAAAAATTAAACCTTAAACAATCTTTTTTAGAGTATAACACATGGGGCACAAAAATTAATGGAATGCAGCAACTCACAGGTATCAATCAACAAATATTTGAGTGCCTGCCATGGGCAAGGCACTATACTTGAAAGGAAAGGATTTCTAGCCACTGAAATATGTTTGCTTTCCAAAGAATAAACAAGGTAACAGAGGATATCCCTTGGGGAGCCTGCTAAGATAACACACACACACACACACACACACACACACACACACACAGAAATTAGAAGAGAAAAAAGCAGTAAAATTCATTCTACTAATGCCATAGCAATTAAACTTGTGGATCTTAACTTACTCGCTGCTGAACCAGTTGATAGCATATTTCAGCAGGGCTTGGAAAACCAGTTTAGTGTTTTAGATATTCTGAGAGAGGTAACTTTCAGCCTTGTCACGTGGGATTCCCCAGAGTCCAGTTCCTCATTCCAATCCACTCTATGTTTATGAAAGTGCATTAGCTGGAACAGTAAGAAGAAAAAATATGTACTGCAGGAAGTCATCCAATCCTAATAAGTTGACATGTAGAATAAAGTTGATGGTGTTATTTATTACTAAGGTAGTCCTGGTTAAGGGTTACATGTGTGTACAGTTGGAGGAGGGGCAGGCAAAGGGGAATGTAGATAACTAAAGTGAAATAGAGCTGATGTATTCAGAGGTTATGTTGCTAGAGGTGAGATCAGTTACCTACGTGCAACTGAAATTTCAAACTTCTGTTTAGCAGGGACGTGAGTGGACAATGGTGACTGACAGTTGGAAATATCAGCAAACATCTTAAATTTTATGCTCAAGTGAATGAACAATGAACCAGGAGAATAGGTCTAGTTTTTTTTGGCTCCTTGTAATTTTTACCTTTTTACTTAAAATTACAGCATCTTTTTCAATGAACGCCTATGTGACTGTGACTTATTACAATGAAACCAGCAACTACACTGCAATAGAGACATGTGAATGTGGTGTTTATGGATTAGCTTCACCAGTGGCTAATGCTATAGGGGTGGTAGGCATCCCTAAGAATAATGACTACCAAGCTTGTGACCACAACACTGAGTTTAGTAATACTAAGAAGCCCTGGATTGCGCTGATAGAAAGAGGTAATTGTACATTTTCAGAAAAAATTCAAACAGCGGGCAGAAGAAATGCTGATGCTGTTGTGATTTACAATGCTCCAGATACTGGCAATCAGACGATACAGATGGCAAATTTTGGTAAGTAATAATTGATTCACAAAGAGCATTAGTGTCTGTTTATCTTAGAATGGTATTTCCATCTAGAACTGCTCTAGGATCTGGCAACAAGTTTGTAAAATAATTTTACTTTAAATTTTCTTGCCTGGCACGACTTGTAATTACTTTATTATCATTTAATATTTTAATTAATTTGTTCCAAAGACAGTAGCAATTCATGAAGTGATTCCTATTTTCTTTCATGTTTTCTTAGCAATATAAGTTTCCTCAGTGGGCATTATATCATGAATTGCTTTTTAATAAACTGTACTTTTACCTCTAAACATTAAAAAATTTAATTTTATTATTAATTTATACTTTTCAGTTTATTTTCTCCTGCAAAAGGGATTGTATGTTTTCAAGTATGTTAAACTGCAAAACACTTTCATTATGATTAAACAATAGCATATTGTAAGTGTGTAAAATGTTATAGAAATGAGAACTTGACTCTACTGCATGCTTGTAAGATTTGAATCTTTTTGCAGGACTAATACATACGAAACTACTCTGCAAAAAATGTTATCCATTGAAAATTGTATGGCAGAAATAGGATAACACTGTAATTCACAAAGAAAATAAAGATTTCCCTTAGAAATATTTACTAATGGCTTCTTAAGTAAATAGAATCTTCTAATTTATTAACTTTTTAAAGGAGTTACTTCTGAAAATTACAGGTTTTTATTTTATTTATTTTTTAAAAAACAGTTTCCAAGTAAATAGATTTTTAAACCAATGAAGAAGTAAACTTCTGAATCCATTTTGTTCACTGAGGATAGGTATGTGTGTTTTTTCCCAGATCAGACTTGGTCTTTAAAAAAAGGAATAATTTCAATCAAGGCAAGAGCTGACAGTAAATGAATACAAAATTTTGATAATTGGTGTTATCACTGCCAAATTTAGCCTCTAAGAAAATTAATGCAAATTAAATTAAACAGATTTTAGAATTATGAAAAGGAGAAAATCAAACTTATGTTAAGAATAGTATGGTGCTTGGAACGTTCCAAGTTGTACACATACAATATGGCAGTTTAGTACTAACATTTGAAAACCAAACTGCTTATTTCACTGAGCATCAAAGAATCAGGTAAGATGAACTTCAGCAGTACAAAGTTATTGCAGATGTAACAAAACTTCATGTACTACCTTTTGTGACACATCCTGGACATTGCAAGAGCTCGAGCATTCACATTTTATATTATTTTCTAGCTAAGAGCATTTCATAAGCATTCCCTGCCTGTTCCTATGTTTTTACGAGTGACTTTCATTTTTGTAGAAAGAAACCAATGCCATTTTCTGATAAAACTTGGGAATTAAATCTGTTCTAAGGAACCCACTTGTTATACATTTAAACTTAGAGATCTTGAATACTCTGGATTGCCTTTTGCATGCACACATTCTACTTATTCACTCTCCTGCTATTTTTAAAATACAAACGGTATGAAACTAAACAGTAGTCCTGTTTTCAAAACTTTCTTTGCAATCTGCATTAGGGACCAATATCTAGTAGAATGTAGGTACCCTGCCAGTAAATTTGAAATATTTACCAAAGATCACTCACAGTAGATCTCTCCAAAAGAAACATGTGCATAATCATTTGAATATGTGACTGAACAGAGTTTAAAAAGGAGGCAGCTAGACTTATCATTCAATATATACCTCCAATATAACCAAAGACACATGATCAAAAATATTTTTAAAGCTACAGTATTGCACCTGTTTTAAAATAAACACATTGATAAAGATAGCATAATGATCATAGCTGTGACGGTTAACATTTATTGGCATTTATTATGTTTCAGGCACTGTTATAGCATGTTTATTTAATGAACATTGTTTTATAATATATGATGATATCAACCCCAAAGAATTAAAACTAAATTTGGTGGAATTTTGCCTTTTTAAGACCTGCCAACTAGTGTGCCGTTGGATTTTTTCCTTCCTAGAAATTTCCCTTATATAAAAACTATTCAGTGATGCAGTTGACAAACACAAGGAATCAAGTGTGGATATGAACACTAGATGACCAGACCCTAGATCATTAAAGACTGTCCTTATTTTATGCCAACATTTTGTTTGTTCTTCCTGTCTTTTCATTCGTGTTTTGTTTTATTTTGACACAGAGGGTGGGGGAAATCCTCCTATAATAAAGGTCACAGTTTCACCTTCTGTCATCTCATCTTGTATTACCCCCTAAAAACCACCTTTTCAGAAAATCACACTGTAGCCCCCTCAGGCCCTTATACCCTTCTACTCTTCCCTGGTTCCCCCTACCTTTTCATTCCTTCAGTCCCATTTTCCTGTACTAGGTCTTACTAAGCACTTCCACAATATTATATCTCTTTACTTCTTTCTAATGTCAATGCATTCCAGCCAAAGACCACTAGCAACAGACCCGTAGTTTAAAAAGTTAGATTTATTACTTGTTGCAGCAACTGGAAGAGCACACACTGTGGAAAACCATGGGGCATCCTAGTAAGAAGGTGTTAAAAAGGACTTGCAGGATTTGGGCTTGCTTTAGGTGTTTTAGGGGAGAGTTGAAGGAATGTGGCTGTTAACCAACCATTCTAGTTTGCTTGAGATTGAAGGTTTCTTGGGATGTGGGATCTCAATGTTAAACCAGGAAACTCCTGGGAAAACTGTGACAAGTTGGCCACCCTAGCTGGCTTTGTTCTGAACTTGGAGGCTGCCAGTAAGTTGAGGTAATTCTGTGTTTAGGTTTCTAAATAAATCTTTTTTATAAGTGGGGAAGACTAGCCCATGGCTAAAGCTGTAATTGGTAAAGAAGAAATAGTTACCCTTATTAGCCAGAATAGAGAGATATTTGGTAGTTACCCTTATTAGCCAGAATAGAGGGATATTTGGTAATTTTTGTGGTGTGGACACTGTCCATATTTTGTCTGTGTTCACACCTGATTATGGAGTGGTTTTTTGTTTGTTTGTTTGTTTGTTTGTTTTGATCCGTCATCGTCACAGATTGACCTTCTCTAATGTTGATGTTCTGTGAGATGGTTTATGTTCAACAAGAAAATATCAAGGCTTAATTGAGAGTGCCAGGCTAAGTCCTAAATATCAGGGGCAATTTTTCCCTTTCTCACTGACAGTCTACTTCATCCACCCTCGTACTGTTGTGCAAATATATTCTCTTCCCCCATGTCCTTTCACATTTCTGTGCCTCCCCATCCCCTATAGGTTGCCTTCAAGGGACGCGGTAAGTCTAAGGGATGCTTCCGCACCCCTTGCCTCACATGGTTTCATGATTTAAATACAGAATGTCCTTACTCCTGAGTCTAGTCTATTTGCAGCCTCCCTACTAAGAGTGTTCTTTTTTTGAAGGAGATAATTTCAGTCCGAGAATAGCTTCCACTGAGGAAGAATAGTGTATAGCCTAATACTGGGGGATAAACTTCGAACTCAGTTTCCCATTGTGCTGTGTCCAGTAGCAGTTTCCTAATTTGCTCTTGGATTTCTCCTTTGGGTTATTTTCCACACTGGTGAATATATCTGTATCTATCTACACACAAACATATATGTATATATACATATATTTTCATATTCTAGCTTACCAGAAAGAATAATGGGATTTTGACTTGGCATTTTGATGAAGTGGGAAATAAAAGGATATGCTTACCATGTTCTTAAGTAAGTATGTAACTTCCTAACAATCTTTTCCAAACACTGCAGACATGGTCTTTCAGTTCTAGTCTAGAGATGCGAGAAAATTCAGGACTCCTGAATTATCCAAGCAGAAGATGCATAACATGTTAAGTACTTGCTTGCTGAGCAGACAGCTTTGGAAGTTAAATATGCTATTTTTAGGTAAAATGTCTTGAGAAATGCTTAGATTTGGATGTAGTTTATATCAACAAGGTCAGTAATTTGGGAGGGATGAAATGGTTTTTACGTTTTATCATTTCAGCTGTGTCCAGCGAAGTGGGTTAGAGTGAAGTGTGCAGCATTCAGAATCCCCAAAACTCACCAATTCCAGAGTAGTGAAGTGCATGAAAAGGAAGAGTTTAATTATAGCAGCAAACTCACATGCTTTATAAAAATGTTTTTCTAGAAGTAAAAGGAGAAATAAAAGCATGGTATATAAATGAAGTGAGAAGATGATAAAAACTTCAGTAAGACTAACTCAGATATGTACATAAAGAAGAGCT